CGAGCAACAAATCAACTTACAAAACACAATGAAATATGTACTAAGTACAAACGGTTCCTTTACGATAATCAACGAGGCCAGGAGCACTGTGCTGTCAGGAATTGTAACAAGTTACTTGGTACAATCCCTGACAGCACAGTGCTCCTGGCCCCGTTGAAAGCTTCTGAAACTAGTAAGTTTTGGCTGAAGAGCTCTGTGCTGGCAGGGATTGTGACAAAGTAAGGTTTTTGAAACTAGTCAAGTTTTGGCTGAAGGCATTGAGCATTCCTTTTGAAAGTAGTCAAGTTTTGGCTGTGCTGGCAGGGATTGTTACTGTAAGATTTTTAAATCTAGTCAAGATGCGGGTTTGGTCCTTATAAGCGGGCCATGTTTGCGCAATTTCGATGCTAAAAGACGCGGGTTTGGGCTTAAGCGGGCCATGTTTATGCAATTTCGATGCTCAAAGACGCGGGTTTGGTTCTTAAGCGGGCCATGTTCACGCAATTTCGATGCTCAAAGACGCGGGTTTGGGCCTTAAGCGGGCCATGTTTACGCAATTTCGATGCTAAAAGACGCAGGTTTAGGCTTAAGCGGGCCATGGCTACGCAATTTGGTCCTTAAGCGGGCCATGTTTACGCAATTTCGATGCTAAAAGATGCGGATTTGGGCTTAAGCCGGCCTAAGCCGGCCATGTTTACGCAATTTCGGTGCTCAAAGATGCGGTTTAGCCCGAAAACGGAAAGCTTAAACGGGTCCGGGTTAAGAAGGCAGAAGGGGAGGGGGGTCGGTGGAGCGCTTGAAGGCCAGCCCCGAATGAGGAAAGTTATTATGTGGACTTGGCTCCGGCCCTGCTGCGCAGACCCCCCCGGGAGGTCAGGTGCCCTACGCGTGGCCTGCTTAGGGCTGCGCTATTTGCATCGAAAAGGGCAAGGGTCTGGGCCTTAAGCGGGCCATGTTTACGCAATTTCGATGCTTAAAGACGCGGGTTTGGTCCTTGGGCCATGTTTACGCAATTTCGATGCTAAAAGACGCGGGTTTGGTCC